ATGGCCTAAGGATTGTCGTATGGGAAKCATTTAAAATTCTACTAAGGCGGGCTGCCATTTGGTCACTTGAGACATAATCCCACAAGTGTCTTTCTTGAAGCTGCTAAAGGCCATGAAGCTTGTTCGGGCTGTTCGGTCTGGGGGACCCTCTAGTTACAACGAAGGGACGACATAGTCAGTTCTACTTTTGTGACGAAAGGCCTTATGGGCCTTGTGACGCAGTGCATTTTGGGATTGATAAATGAGTAAACAAGGGATCAACGATGTCAGTGCTACAGTTGTCTGTAACGTAGACTCAGTTTTCGAAAAACATTGGGGAATATTGATATTGTAGTTAATCTCAGAAGCGAAAAGACAAATAAATATCAACATGCAATAGGAAATACAGCAAAACCTCCAAGTACTGTTAATCGAGAACTTCCATTACTAGGCAAATCAAGCAAAAATGAAAACAAACATAATTTGTTTGTGGAAAAATCGAAACTAATTAGTGATTTTACGATTTTAGCGATTCGTTTTGATGAAGAAAGGGAGATATATATTCCATGATACATTGCAAACCGATTCAAAATGGCGGTCTTGTAATATGGACTATCGGTCATCGTGTTGAGTGACCGAACCGTAACCATCCACTTGTAGCAGGCGTTCCTTGCGAGTCCTTGAAATGTTTAATTAGTTGAAAAGAGAAAATCTCTAGAGAAAAACAAACGAAGTAACAACAGCAAAGAAAAGAAGAAAAGAAAAAAAGAAAAAAAGAAAGAAGAAAAGAAAACAAGAAACAAACGAAAAATAAACAAGAAACAACCGAAAAAAAGAGAACTTCCAGAAGCAGGATTCGAACTCAGAACTTTCACTTCAGGAGAAGTTGTACCCCCCCTGAATATATAAGAAAGAATGAAAATAAAAAAACTAAAAAGATGGGACGATTCCCCCGAGACATTCTATGAAGCTGAGGCGGCGAATCGGCTTACGTTACGGTTAGAGATTTCGGCTCTTCCACGCTATCCCGAGTGAACATAAAACTTAGTCTTAACCAAAAGGCCAGGGAGTGAGGGGGTAGCCGCCCACTAGAGCATACCTTTAGCTACCCTCTTAGACCATCGTACTATGAGGACACTTATAGATATCTTATCTAATTGGGGTAGTCTATTCGGTGAAGTTCCATGCTAATGTATGACGTCACCAAAATCCTTAGGGATCAGCGAGCCAATCAGAGCTTAGCTCGGGAACTAGCAAACGATACAGGCTTTGCATAATCATTCTTTAGTGGATATATTATTTGACGGGGGTGGGGATGGGTGCTGAGAGCTGGTTTGCGGTCGATTACCGCTGTTCCATGTAATATGACGGCTTTCGCCAAGCTG